CATTTGAGTCGAAGAACCCATTTGTGGTCACTTGTTGTCAATTTTCAAACTTCGACTTTAATACACAATTTACGTCGTTCATTGGTCGTCCCTGGAGGAATCAATGATTATCCAATGATATGATAGTTCCCATATTAATAATTATTAGATTTTGTTATCGAATATCCACACGGCCCATATCTTTGATCTCAATTAGCCTCTAGTTCTCTTATGCAACGACTGGGTAGATCAGGGCTCAAAGTGGGCACCCTTTCTTTTCAGGTGTTTACGCCGAATGTACTATTGGCCATCCCCCGGCAAATCCACATTCTATCAAAATATTCGAAGGATATGTTTGATGCCGAGTTGTCCGAAATTCAAACATTGCGAGATTTCAATCTAACATGAATCAATCATAGATCCTGATATGTTAATTCATGTACTGAAGCTTTATCAAAACTATTCCTGACATAGGCTCGCAACCAGAATGGGAAAGCTTTCTCCAGGAGATCTCCACTATGTCTTCCCTTTTGGGAAAACATTCTTCTCAGCCACGCCGAGATCCAGATACCTAGACTTCTCTCAAGAGACAATTTCTATTAAATAGTTGGCCCCCAAGCCCATTCATTCCAGTCCACGCCTCTTTTGACCTTCCAAGTCCTGTCAAGTTCACACATCTAGAGAAGGAAGTTACTCTTGCATATCAGGTAGTTCTCTCTTAAACCCTTGACATTTTCCCGCTATGTTTCGCGACTGTTACTGATAGATTGCAGTCATGAAGACTTCACCGTCTTTAGCGGCAGCAGCAGCTGTCTTGGGTGCCGTTTCAGCACAAAGCACTGTAACCTCAACCTTGAGCCCTGCCACAACCACTGTTGTTTCAACCGCCACACCAGCTCTTTTTAGCAATGAAGTGGTTCAATTGACTGATGGCGTTCTTGATAACGTTGCTGCTGCCATCAACAATGAATCTATTTCATCTCTCTTCTCTTTCGACTCTGATTCCACCGCTTCGAACAGATCTGCTCGAGCATGCAAACTTCTTCCTGGTGATGCGTTGTGGCCCATTACTTTAATTTGGGATATTTTTGACATCCTCCTTGGCGGTGCTTTGATCAAGTCCACCCCTTTGGCCGCTGTCTGTTATCCGGAATGGCCTGAATATGATGCAGCCAAATGTGCGTCTGTCACAGCTGACTGGTACTTTTCAGAATTGCAGTAAGGATCATCCAATCCGACATATTATTGGATACTAACTTCGACACAGCGAGGCCGATCCAACTTCAATTCAGTTGCCTCTCTACCAGGGTCGTACTTGTATGCCTCCTGGATTTAACTATACAGACACCTGTGAGCAGGGTGGTTACCCCAGTTACGTTGTTAACGTCACAAACGTGGCACAAATTCAACTCGCAGTCAATTTCGCAAGAAATCTTGACCTTTCCATTGTGATCAAGAATACTGGTCATGATTTCAACGGTAAAGCATCTGGCAAGGGTGCCCTCACCGTCTGGACTCATTATCTCAAAGATAAAGCCTACTTACCAAACTTTGAAGCTGCAAATGGTTACTCCGGACCTGCTATCAAGGTTGGTTCCGGTATCCTGGTTCATGAAGCCTACGAATATGCCAAGAGCTTAGGAGGTACTGTAGTTGGCGGAGAAGCTGTCGCTGTAGGAATGGGTGGTGGTTATGTTGCCGGTGGTGGTCACTCGCCTTTGAGCAGTATGTATGGCATGGGATCTGATCAAGTCTTGGCCATGGAAGTTGTCCTTGCCAACGGTAAATTTATCACTTGCGATTCCAAAACCAACTCCGATGTCTTCTGGATGCTTCGAGGTGGTGGCGGTAGCACTATTGGTGTTGTCACATCTCTCACCGTCAAACTTCTCCCCAAACTCGAAACCACCACAGTTACCTTCAACTTCACTGTCGCAGATACTCCCGGTAACGACTCCTTCTGGGCAGGTGTTCAAGCTTATATTGACAATGCTGAAACCTTCGTCGATGCTGGTACCTACGGATATTATTACCTTGGAGCTAGCGCCTTCGAAATCGGAACCGATGTTGGTGGCAGTGATGCTTATTATTTCCGTATGGAATCTTTCGTCGCACCAAACATGACAATTGCTGAGACCCAAGCACTCCTCAAGCCTTGGTTCGATGTTCTTGACAGCAACAATATCACATATACCCCTTGGTACAACCACGCTGACAACTTGTAAGTTATTCCTAGCTTTTTTGTCTTGTTCACCATCATAATTCAAGCATGCTGACAATCATCCCTAGTCACGATGCCTGGGTTGTTTCTTTCCCGGAAGAATATGTCGGAACTGACATTGTCAAAACCGCTTCTCGCCTTATGCCTCGCTCTGTATTCGAGGACGATGACCTCCGCAATCAAACCTTTGCCGCTCACAAATCTGCCATCGAGCAAGGCTTCTTCATCGCCGGCTTCCATATCTCCGGTACCGGTATTGCTGTCGACCCACCCACTGATTCCGCTGTTCTTCCTGCGTGGCGTGAAACCATCATGCACACTATCGTCGGTGGTCAATGGGAGGCTACTAGCTCCTGGGCCGAGATCGAAGTCGTTGTAAAGGCCGTTACAGCCTTCATGGACACTTTCCGTGCCATTGCTCCTAATTCCGGCTCCTATATGTCAGAAGGTGACCTCATCGAGCCCAATCAAACACAAGCATTCTACGGTGCCAACTATGATAGACTTTATGCGATGAAGCAACAATATGACCCCAACGGCGTATTCTTTGCTCTCACTGCTGTCGGATCCGTCGATTGGGAAATCCAGACCACTGATCCTATTCCATATAACTGGAACACCAACGGTAGACGCTGCCCAGTCTAAAGGAGATGTCTGGAGAGATTGTATATAGAACCAAAATCGTCTGTAAATAGTTGACGAATAGATTGATAATATTAATGATAATGAATCTTTTTCTTCAAAGCCCAGCAAAATGCGTTTGTGGATATTAATCTTTCATTTTCCCGTTGAACTATATGACACAATTCCACGAGAATTTACCCCGCTTAATTTGACCAGACGTACATCTGGGTAGATAGATGTGGAGAGATGATTAAGTGATATACGGCGTCAAGTTAGTCTTACATTAAACTCGTGCTGGCTTCAGCTGTGTTGATTTTCTTGTATTGTGACTGTTAACTTTATCATCCCGTTGGAGGTCTATCTACCATTTCAACAATTCATTCCTGGGAGAATTTATGTCACTCCGGATGAGAGTTGGATCAGACAGAAGTCGAACTAGAAAGTGATTGAGGAGATATTAGGTATTAAACGATACTATCTACTTGAGTTAAGTGTTAGTCTATAGGAAGAGTGGCTTAAATGGTAAGCTGGAAATCTTGGACTGGTTTTCGGGGGAGAGAAACATGAACAATCCAGTGTCTATGGAATGTCTGTTCATCATTTTCCCCCTCCAAATCGTTAGAATTAAACTGACTGATGAAGCTGAAACACGCCAAAATTGGAAAATTGAGGAAAAAGACCTGTCAAAAGGCTGTTGAAAATTTGTGGGTAGAATAGGGTCGTTCTGCTACTTTGGGCGGCAGTTAAATGAGTTACTAGGCAAGTGATAGGTAGCTAAGAAATGGCAAACGCAAAGACCGTGTTGCAACTGAGAAAATCCTGCTTAATCTAAAACCTTCCAGTCATTCATTGTTTGTTTTGGATTAGATGATGACACCCCTTCTCCTAAGATAACAATTTGAAGACGAATGAATTGACAACAACAGACATGATTGAGATTCTGGCGTCTGTCCTGAACGTTCAAAGTGCATTTGTTGTATTGTTCATCAAGGACATAGATGTATCCGAAATCGACTCGTTCCTGAACGTCGTATGGGACATGGAGAGATGAAAAGTGTACCATCAAGCCCTGCACTATTATCTCAATCGAGACCTGAACTCCCCTCGGAATAAGTGTGATAGGTGGAGAAATAGAGCACATGAGGTGATATAATGGGGTTTTCAAAAACGTCTCTGCCCTATGTTACTTTTGTTGACTTGATCCATGAAGTCGACAACCAGATTGAAGTTCACGAGCACCCTGATAACCGCCATCATTGAGAGGTCTCGACGCCAGTCTCAATGCCAGTCTAGAGAGTTGTCTTGAGCGATGCGCACATCGAATCAATCCAGAGATTTCGGTACCTGAGACTCCTAATATCTTTGGTCGCATCTTGGTATAAGTTTGATAATGTTCTTGAGCCCCTCTTTCTCCAGGACTCAATATGCTCTAAATAGGTTTCAAGGTCGAGCAATCTGGTCGTGATGATCGTCTGATGCTCACCCTATTCGAGAGACAACTGACAGAGATGGTGGGTGAACAATGCTTCTAGATTTGGACGAAATTCTCCGTCACCATGATCCAAGTAGTTCCGTTCTATCAAAATGGTTTGGCATCATCTGTTTGGCTATCAACTTTGAAGCAACCGAGCGCCAATTTAGGATATGTAGAGTCTACTAGGTACTCGCGGGTAGAATCAGCAATCTTTGACTAATATTGCCAGATCAGATTCAAGCATGAAATTCTGCCTTGGGGCTGGCAAGTGAATTGAACATTTTACCGCAGTATATTAAAATTGCCCGGAGCTGACAACAATGACTCCATCTCCATGTTGTAGAACAGTGATGAATTGACAGCATTTGCAACTTTGCGAAGTTTGCTGGTAATCACCATAATCTTCGGATGATCCCGATTCTTTCAATCGAAACGAACTAATCGTAATCAAGAAATAAATGATAAAGCTACGCCTATCCCTTCGTATAAGCTTTGAAGTTCTCCAGCGTAGTAGTTGTTAAAGCGTTTGGCAATCATTGATAGGTAATGGGAACAGGTCTTAGTATTACAGTGCCAAAGGGTACCCCAAACCTTTATATCGAAAATACATTTATTCACAATATTTTGCCTATTTTGAGAATGAAATAATTGCCACGTGAATTATGTGAACAACAAGATGTATAATGCAAAACGGAATATAATCAGATCAATTTATATACCAATTTGATGTAATGCGTTCAATTCTGGCAGCTCATTCTTTATCTACGACACCGCCAAACTGCGTTCTCTTAACTTCACCCTTACCCCTCATTCCCATTGACAATTAATTTTTTAACCACCAGATCAACCAACACCCAAGTTCTCTTTGACTTCATACCCAACTTCTTTGATTCAAACTCATAATCGTACCCTACCTTTATTCCACCAATCTTGCAGACAATATTCAGGGTGATCTCCCATGCGCAGAATGTCTACCATCACAATTGGAAACCTACCCCGTTTGTCCTCAAAAGCTCTCTCTGATATCCTTCTTTCTCACGCCTCGTCGAACCTGGATGCCCCTTCCAAGCCACAGAACTTAGCTATTATTGATGTCCGTGATGATGGTATGTCTGTTTCGGGCACTATTGTCTGTCTATGAAGACTACTGCTATTCTTTTCAGTCATTTCAAATCACTGACTTCAATCCACTTTCGCAGATCACATAGGCGGCCATATCAAACATTCTACCCACGTCCCATCCTCCACTCTCGACTACAAGATCCCCGAATTGGTTCGGAAACTTAAGGATAAAGATACAGTTGTATTTCACTGTGCTTTGAGTCAGCAGAGAGGCCCCAGTGCCGCATTGAGATATATACGCGAAAGGGAGAGGATTATGGGCGTGGGTGCCGGCATGAGCGCTGGATCTGTTGGAGAAGCCATGAAGAAGAATAAGGAGGCAGTTGAGAAGAAAGCTGATGACGGGGAATGGGAGGATGTTGAAGAGGAATCCGAGAAGAAAGAGCAAAAGGTCTACGTTCTGGATCAAGGATTCGTAGGATGGCAGGAGATATATGGCGAAGATTCACGCTTGACAGAAGGATATCGGAAAGAGATCTGGGAAAATGGTTATTAAGATGAAACTGGGAATTTCACCAACCAATACCCTGCAATAAAACAATTTTAAGCACACATACACGAGTCTTCATGGTATAATACGCCTACTCTTTATACATAAGAACGGAAATTCTTTTTTTCTTTGAGGGGGAGGGGGGCTTGCTTGCTATGCGTAGCTCGCGGCATTCATCCAAATTATATTCCACTCGAATTCGACAACAGAGGTTACAAGATAGAAGCACAGCCTCTACCTCATTCACTGCTTTGTCCCCTCTACATCTCTCACCAAGTCTATTACCTTCTGAATTGTTTCCTCTTCTAGGACGGAAAGCTCCCGCCTCAGAAATTTCAGTCCGTACCGGCTAGAGATCATTTACTTCCTCAACATCTGGCACATATAGTTGGCGGAGGTACATGGCTTGTAGTTGAGCGATCGAGATTGTTGACAATCCTTTGGCAACACTTTGATTCGTACAGAAAATTGGTCATCCGATTATCTTGTGGACTGCGCATGCCTATGGCCTTAAGCAAGTCATCAAAAGAGACAATGAGATGGGTGCACTTTATGTCATCCGCAAGCTATGTAGCTGATCCCATTGGTTGGTGCCATGACGCTTGAAGACTTGGTTCGTAAGTTGTGACAACCAACTCTTTCCTCGAGTTCTTGACTACTTTTCTTCTAAAAAAAGATCCAAGAGCATAACGAATCCATTGGACGTCTTACCAGCTTCAAAAGTCTTCCAAAGGTGATACTGTAAGTCTTCGGAAGGTTTCACATAATGTAGTCCAGGCTGTGCAACAAGCACCCATAAAACTTGTTAGGTAAATGCTCTCTTGAAAAATATCTCCTCAGTATAGTATGAGAATGCAATATCATTGATCAAAGACGCTACCTTCGGATGACCAAGATCTGGCCATAATGAAAAGGCGGTATTGCCATTCGTCAACTTGTGAAACATATCAACTGCAGACTTTACAATTGGGGCGAGGGCGTTGACGTCAAGCAGATGAGGAAACGGACTGGGTGAAACTAGGATTGAATGGATTTCTCCATGGAATGTATCAATGTTATCTTGGGTTTCTCATCGCTTGCAAAATATGAAGATGTGTACGTGTTTTCCGGAGCATCTTCATTTAGCTTTACCACCATATCATTTCTTGAAATGATAGATTATCTTTGAAGACGGGGGTATCGTCAAGTTGCGTTGCCGCCTTGATCAATGTTAAATTCTGCCTGGCTGAATTGTGTGCCTTCCTCCAATCTCCTTCAGAAATCAGTCGAGGGAGCCTATATCTACATTTGATGCCTTGCAACGAGCGACGGATGCGATGTGTCAAAAAATCTTCTGGGATACTGAATCAAACTCAAACCAGAGCTGTACTACATTTTTGCCATCACGATTTTGTTCAACTTCCACACTCAGCCTAGTCATTTCGTAGTTCTCTTTCGAGAACATCCGTCACAATTCTCGTGTGCGAATCAGGTCTTATTATAGCCAGGCATCGATGTTTTTTTCTTTCGTGGTCTTGCAGTGGCTAAGATGGAACAATAGCAGAGTTGTCTCAAGCAAGTGGATAGATAATTCGCGTTGATCTCGGAACTCGTGTAAAGAGGCCCAAAAGATTCAAAGCCAGGATGAGACAAACGTGATGGAGGTTCTCGTCGTGAATTTTTAGAGACGTATTGAATATGGTTTCGCTTGTAGTTCTGCGATATTGAGAACGAGACAACGAGGTAGTGTTCCAGTCATGACAAGATAGACATAATATTCTGTACTTAAGAACTCTCAAAGAGATTAAATGCAAAATTGTTTTTGAACATTTTTAGGTACAGCCACATAAAATAAACTCCGTTTAAATATTGCAACTGTCATGTCGACCTTTGCCAGTATGAATTGAAAGAACGTGTTGACTTTGACAGAGGATAGGCCTCGAGAATCCAGGGCTACCCTATTCAATCAGGTGAAGATGAGACTTTCAATTATATCAATGGCTGAGTGCATGAGAATTCAAGAACCTCCAGCAAATAAATATGAAGGAATACAAATCGTGGGACGGTGTCTTCAATGTTCTAGTAACATTAACTAACATATGGTCAAAATCTAATTTACATCTCTGTTAAATTTATTCTAAGCCTTCCACTCGCAACCGTGTCAGGGCCTTGGAATCCTGCGAGTCAATATTTGCGAGTCTTGTTTTGTAAGTCATAGCCATTAGCTTTACTCCCTTCATCCCGCCGGTGCTTATTGTTGAATGCCTCCAGCTAATTCAGATGTTATCCCTCACTAATTTGAACCTTGGTGGCGATGATGAGATCAACAGTACTGTGGTTACTCTGAGATGTACTCTACGTCGGCTTGAGGAAGAAACTGAAAGTCACTGTGCAAATCAAGACTACTTTACCTGTGCCAAGTCTGAGTGGTGGAGATGAGGGTTCATTGAAGACCGTATTTGATGCAGTGAGTTCTAGAGCTTGCGGGATTCTTCAATCCGATATGTAAATAGTCATGCCGCGTTAAATTGTGAGTCTTTCCTTCCATCCAACAATGTGGGTTCTTTCGGCGTGTCTTTAATTCTATGGCAGAAGGACATTTTATGTCATAGTCTATAGAATTTCTTGGAAAACCACAGCATTTCGATCTCCCCCCTTCATTTAGCGAGTTCCGTCACCGAGATACACGACTATAAATTGAATTGGGTCAAACGTCATGTAGAACAGAAGGGCGGGAGTCCAAGAAAGTTTCCATGTCAAAGGTACAAAAGGTTTGAGACGTTCATGAAACCAGTGTAGTGACATTCAGTTGAAGTTGATGATCGAGGATCGAGGGGGACGACCAAAGACATTCTTTGTAAAATAAGAACATTCACAAATTTGATACTCAACATAATCGATTGTTAAAGCACACAGAAACTGAAATTCTTGTATGAATATCAAAAGAGAAAATGTTTTTTAACGTTAAAACTTATGTAAATAACACCCAAAATAATTTCAAATGCATTGGGACAATGACTTGATAGATTTTTGATATGCTTTATGTTTGTTATCTAAAACAGTAAAATAAGAGAAGGAAGGATCGCCCAGGTTTCTCAGCTTTGGTGTTGATTACAGATATTCAAGAGCATGTGGCATGTGCGACATGTGATTGAAGTTTGGGGTCTGGAAACGAACGGGTCTGTCAATTGTTGACTGCGCTTATGTAATTCCAACAATCGAAACACTGTATTCACACTGGATGTTGTGTTGTTTTCCATCCGCATAGAATAGAAATCGAGAACTCTGAGCTAAGAGCTGATATCTAGTCTACTAGTCTGAAAGCTGGTATGTAGGTCGACACCCTTTACCTTAAATTATCTAGATATGAAATGAAGAATGAATGAACGGATTGATAAATAGTGGAATTAAATCAATTGCCCTAGAGGACATGTGTTATGAACTGAGATACACGATTCTCCTAGCAGAAACACTCCCGAGGTTTCGTTGTCAATCATGTGTTTGCAGGTGACAATCACAATGTATGATCCAGTCCTGTCATGTCGGTGGTCAAAAACCTTGTGGATCCAGTATCGTGGGAATTCAAAATTTCCGCATTGGACCATAAAATAGGAAGGAGAGAGATTGACACGTGTTAGACATCACAATACCGAGTACGATGTAGATTAGGATCCATCGGAGAAACTCGGATTGCATGATCAAAGTAATCAATGACAATTCCAAGACGCAGAGCTCTCCACATTGACTGTCAACCCCATGGGCAAGAATGGGGCGGTCCGCGTTATCTCTCTTGGTGTAAGAACTAAGGTACGGAAGAGAGAATTAGGTATCGCGAGATTTCCCTCATGTACGCTGCCTCGTGAGTAACCTTGGGGAGAAATCTCACTTGAGAATTGTGATTCAATATTCCATGAGGCATATCTTGATACAACAGCGACGGGCCGTGAATTCCTAACCCATGCACACGTGCGAGATAAATGTTGAAGGGTATGAGAGAATTAGGATAGTTACATTAGCCGTGAGGTGAGGCAAAAAAAAAAGAGTTGAGGCAAGAACGGCAAAATGGAGATTTGGAAGACGCAACACCTCTAGGCTCTAGCACTCTAACACTACCTAGTATGTATCACGACCGAAGGAGGGATTAATACTTTAGCGCGTGGTCACCACAAGCTGGTCGCTGGGAGATGGCGCGAGACGCTGAAGAGGGGAGGCTATGTTGAAAGGTCCGATGCAATGCTGTACGAAGGAGAGATGATATACGGTAGGTAGTTGGTAATTGCCATGTTACATTCAACGTTTTTGTTGTATTACACATGAGGATGAGTATGGGCATGAGCATATGTATACATGTGAGCCAAGGCGCAAAAATGTGATAATTGACACAATTGGCATATGAAGAAGGCGGCTATTGCGTTTACATGTGTGTGAAAATGTTGAGGATATTTTAATGTTTGGGAGTTACTCAATGGCAGTGATGAAGTGATGATTGTGAATAGCATTGCCAGTAGTATTCGGCAAATTGATTTGCAGGTTTCCATTCGGGTCCGGGAGAATGTGAAGACAGGACAGGATAGTGATTTCCTCAACATGAGCTGATTTTCGATTCTTCCCTTGCCGCCATCAACTACAATGTATGTCTCTTTCAACCGTTGACCATCCATGTACGACGTATTCTTTCGTCAATTGTAAGTTCAACGTTGTGTATAAGTGGACCTAGGAGTGTTTAACGAAAAAAGGACCGAAAAGGAGAGAACGGCTTCCTGGATAAGTTCATTCGGGTAAAGGGCCATGGTTGGCGAATGTCATGATTTTTCCGGATAACATCATACATCATACATGATACATGATTGGAATCGAGATGGGATTGAGTGAGTGATTACCTTAGCATGTGGGAAAATGAAGACATCGTGAGATTTTTGGTGGGGCTGGTTATCGTCACAATCGCATCGCCTGCAGAGTACGAAAAGGTGGATCGGATTACTGGGCAGGGAGGGTAGGGAGATGAGGATGGCTCGGATGGGTAGGATAGGATAATCTATCATTGCCGTGCCCGGTTATCTGTACACCTGTACGGAGTACGAGGAGCGAGAGTCGAGAGATTCACAATCGATCAAGGACCACGGTCGTTGCAACTGCAGTACTAGGTAGTTTGTCAGTCGCAAAGACCATGATGAAATCTTTTTACTCCGTGCTGCCCGATTCCGATGCCGTTTCATCCATCCATCCATCAACCAATTGCCTCATGATAATTCATTACCACCACAAATGGACGAACATTACTCGGACGTTGGAAGGGAAACTCCACCATGAAATTGACCTCATGATTTGTACTTTGTTGGTTTGAGTGATCATATACATACTACCTAGTACATCCAAGACACTCACACTCACACTCACACGCACACGCACACTCACACGCACACTCACATTCACTCACACCCTCACTCTGGAACCTCGTGATTTCCGTGAGATGTGCTGGTGGGGTTTGTTTCTCATGTTGGAATAGGGAGTACATACCAGGTACAGTATCTGGTATCAAAGTATTCAAGTTGAGAGATGCATCTACGGCGGAGCAAGTACGAAGTATGCAATGAAAACAAACAGAGAAAGTTTAAATAATGTGAATCCTTATTATTGCATGATACACGATATGCTCCGGACCATGTACAATCTACATACGACATATTCATTTACCAGATTTCGATTCACCACCTACCAGGTAATCTTACATACTGCTGACTGGCTATGCTTGATCATTCATTCCCTCCTGAACCTCGCAGATGGAGGTTTCATGTGTTCTTTTGGAGAATCACCTCCCATATGGCCATCAGTCAGTCAGTCGGTGGCAGATACGGAGTACTTTGTACATTTATCCGATTTGCCCCGGTCTGGGCTCTGGACCATGGACCAGATAATGCAATCAATGCACGTTCCCCAACTTTGGCTTGATCACTGCCCATTGAGCCATTGCACTTGGCTCTTTATCCCACATTGAGTAATTATATTTGTAACTCACCTTAGTCAATGCCATCTTTCATCCTCAGCCATAATCCATCATCCATCATCCATCATCCATATTCCATATTCCACCTGCATCATTCATTGGTGCCAGCCCAATCCAAGTTATCCATCCATCCCCTCCCCGCCCTCGATCCCCTCGATCCCACCCTGACCGTCCTCTCCATTTCTTCCCCACTGCTCAATGCACCCAATCAAAATATCCCCAGCTTTGATGTTGAAACCACCAAACTGCGTCATACTCTCTCTCGCCCTATCAACATTCTTCGTATCAGATCGAAAATACGTTGCTTCGTGCCGGTACGTCGTCGTAACTTGATTGAATCCACTTTCATCATTTCCACACCTTACCGCATCCGTCTCAAAGCTGGAGTCAAGGCATCTGCATGTTGTCTGCAATGATTTAATGATTAATGGATTATCCACGGTATCTATGGCATCTCTGGCATCTATGGCACCTCTAGCCTCTCTCTCTTCTCAATGATTGGTCGCAACCAGGTAACCTTGCCAGGAGGTCATTAGCAACGGCCCTCTCCCTCCTCTTAGTTTCATCCATGTTGTTGGTGTACCTACCTACCTACAGAGCCCTGCAAGCCTGCGCAGAGCACCGCTTTGGAAATCCCTCGTTTCTTTTTAATTCCTCCAAAGCACCTAAAGATCTGGATGTCTTATTGGTTGATCTTTTTCAGGTACATCGCAATACATCCAATAAAATTACTTCCCCGCCATTAGTCTAGACATTCGTGCAGATATTCTGCCCTCCTCCAATCCGAGATACCTCCTACGTAGTATAAGCCAAGATAGTGGTTACAAAACTGGTGACCTTGCTTTTTGGGTTGACGGTGCAATGCCATCGATCCCCCTGCGCCCATTTTTGCCAATATACACCTGGGTATTCAAATATATAAACACCAACTGCTTCCTCGATTTCTCCTTCCCTTGATCATAATCTTTCATCCATTCTAATAACCTTTCGTGTGTTACCACGTTCTATCTTTACAACACCTTTCGACACAGTCATCAATTTGACTCACAATCCATCCTACACACCTCCATCATACCCCGCCATATACCTACTCAAACCCACGCTTCACCTTTGCAAACAACATCGCATCCATATCACCTAAACTTCCTATAAAAGAATACACCTGGATATTTTTAGAACTCATCATTCATCATCTATCATTATGGGTTTAAAAGCAGTTCATTTCGGTGCCGGCAACATCGGTAGAGGGTTCGTCGCTGAATTTGTGAGTCCATGTTCATTTTAATCTTTGAATTCCCAATATTCGAGACCTATGTCTCACGCCAGTCTTTCGAAACTTTTCAACTGCACTGAATAATTTACCATGGCACGCATGATACGGAAATATTTACTAACATTACTCTTAGCTTCACAAATCTGGTTATGAAGTCGTCTTCTGCGATGTCATGGACAGCATCATCACAAAATTACAAACCACCCCTTCATATAAAGTTATTCAAGTTGGAGCCGAGGGTACAAGCGAAGATACCATCACCAATTACCGTGCGATAAATTCGAAAACACATGAAGCCGATGTTATTGAGGAGATTCGTACAGCCGATGTAGTAACATGCTCGGTTGGCCCAAATATTCTCAAGTTCATTGCACCAGTCATTGCCAAGGGTATTGATGGCCGAGCCAATGATGCAACCCCCATTGCAGTCATTGCTTGCGAAAATGCCATTGGTGCCACTGATACCCTCGCCAATCACATCAAGGGTGACCACACTCCAGAAGATCGTCTAGAGGACCACCACGAGCGCGCACGATATGCAAACTCTGCCATCGATCGCATTGTTCCCGCTCAAGACCCAAATGCAGGTCTTGATGTCAAGCTTGAGAAATTTTACGAGTGGGTGGTTGATCGCTCACCTTTCCATGATCACGAACCTCCGGCGATCAAGGGAATCAAATGGGTGGATGATTTAATACCATACATTGAGCGTAAACTCTTCACCGTCAACACTGGACACGCAGCTGCTGCATACCACGGATATTACCACCAGAAGACTACAGTCTACGATGCACTACAAGACCCTAAGATCCTCAAGGAAGTCCACATGGCATTGGAGGAGACAAGTAGACTGATCGTCGGCAAGCATGGTATCGAAGCACAAGAGCAAAAGGATTATGTCGACAAGATCATTACCAGAATAGGAAACCCACATCTGGAGGATGCAGTAGAACGAGTTGGTCGTGCACCCTTACGAAAACTGAGCAGGAAAGAAAGATTTATTGCCCCTGCAGCCGAACTTGCGGAGGAAGGAAAGGAATTTGGTGCATTGCTAGACGCTGCTGAGATGGCTTTCCGTTTCCAGAACGTTGAGGGTGATGATGAATCCAAGGAGTTGGCCAAGATCATGTCGGAAAACTCACCAGAACAAGTCGTGGAAAAGGTCTGCGGGTTGCAATCGGATCATCCATTGTTCCCTCATGTGGTAGCCGTCGTTAAGAAGGTTCAAGCCGATGAGTAGAGTGGTGATAGTAATACTTTTTTCTTTTTCTTTGAGGGATTTTAGGATGGCGAATGGATAGGCATGATAGGGATGGATTGGATAGTGAGCGATACTTCTGGCGTGTTATGGATACGCAGTACGCTTTTGATGACTTGGAACAATGTAGTTACCCACGGATCATAGTATGAATGGAATGAACGGAATACCAAGTTCGAGATATTTACCACTTGGTCGTTAATTTGAAGAATTGAAAATTGGTGCAAATGAAATGCTAGAGAGGTGTAGAATATCCTCTTAAAAAAACCAAAGAGTGTAAAACATGGGAATTCGTAAAGACTTCTCGATACTCGACATGATTGAGAGAGGTATTGATGCACCAATTCGTGTTCTGGTCTTGTTGCAAGGACCATATACTTTGTTGAGAAGTACGATCAGATGTAATGTCAAACATTTGAGAGCTCATCACCACGGTTTACTTTATAGCAAAATAGCAATTCAACTCTCTTTCGCAGTGATTGGTACCAGATGATGGTGTTGGAGATCGAGGGTACGAGATAACAAGACAGTAAGGACAAGACTTTATATAGTGATAGGATCAATTCGATTTGGAGGACTAGCCAGAAAGAAATTGTGATTGATGTGAATTTGAAAAGCGAAATTTCGGTACTCTGTTGAAATTTATATTGATATACAACTACTTTTTCTCAAATTATCGAAATCTTCACTACTATTGCATTTTCTTTGTATTCTGGGGATGTGAAATAAGGTTATTACACTAACCCTAATCAGCGCTAGTCAGTATCATTCAAGCTGCCACATCTCGAACTCCAAAGGAACATTGAAATATATCGAGGGACAACTTTGAATTCCTGTTATTTCTTCCCTCAACCAATTCTTCTTCTAATACAACTCCGAGAGGTTCAAAAGCAAGCTCATAAATCGCCTGACTTCTGCGATTGAATTCACACCAGAAAACCTCGCAGAGGAACCATTTGCGAACCCATTCAATACGTGCGCTGAAAGCCACAGTATTGCTTTTTCTACCCCCCTTACTTTTCAAACATAATTCAAAATGAGGTTGGACGTAAAGGTAAGAAGAATTCCCTCTTCTGCTTGTAATCTGCGATATATGTACAGCTGTCGAAAGCTATGGTTGCTTTAGCTGTGCCCGCGAACCTGGATAGCATCAACAATCTCAAATTAAGGGAGATGATTGTAGTTGGGAATATGGCAGCAGTCACTAATTCGATTTACAAAACTCAGAGGCAGTTATTTGCTCGATCGGAAAGAGTCAAGGGAATTGATTTCCATCCAGTCGAGCCATGGATTTTAACAACCCTTTACAGCGGTATGTTGGCTGGCGCATGAATTGATTTGAGGATGGAGTATTGATTGCTCGCAGGTCATGTTTACATTTGGTCTTACGAAACTCAGGTTAGTAACATCAATATCTGAATGCCCTCTCGCGCTGACAATCTTCAGGCTATTGTCAAGACATTTGAGTTGACAGATGTCCCTGTCCGAGCTGGTAGATTCATTGCTCGAAAGAATTGGATTGTTTGCGGTTCCGATGATTTTCAATTACGAGTTTACAATTATAATACTTCAGAAAAGATCACCACTTTCGAAGCCCATCCAGATTACATTCGCGCCATCGTCGTTCATCCTACGCAACCTTTCGTTTTGACCGCCTCTGATGATATGACAATTAAGCTGTGGGATTGGGATAAGGGTTGGAAATGTGTGCAGGTGTTTGAAGGACATAGTCATTATGTTATGGGACTAGCTATCAATCCAAAGGATACGAATACCTTTGCATCGGCATGTTTGGATAGGACCGTAAAGATCTGGAGTTTGGGATCATCCACAGCAAACTTCACACTAGAAGCCCACGAAACGAAAGGTGTCAACCATGTGGATTACTACCCTCAATCCGACAAACCGTATCTCCTCACTACTTCAGACGACAGGACAGTCAAGATTTGGGATTATACTACGAAGTCTTTGATTGCAACTTTAGAAGGACATACAAGCAATGTTTCCTTCGCATGCTACCACCCCGAATTACCTGTCATTATCTCTGGTTCCGAGGATGGCACAGTCAAAATATGGCATGCAAATACATACAGATTAGAGCAATCCCTGAATTACGGATTGGAGAGAGCTTGGTGTGTTAGTTACCAAAAGGGTAAACAGGGCGTTGCTGTCGGTTTCGATGAAGGTGCGGTGGTTGTAAAGATGGGTCGAGAAGAGCCTGCAGTATCTATGGATAATTCTGGAAAATTGATCTGGGCTCGACATAGTGAAGTTGTCTCGTCTATTATCAAGGGTGGAGGTTAGTATTTCCAAGTGATTATAGGGTCATTACTAATTCATTTGTAGATGCTTCAGTAAAGGACAATGAGCCAATCTCCTTACCCACGAAAGATCTCGGTACCTGCGAAGTATATCCACAAACTCTTCTCCACTCTCCAAACGGCCGTTTTGTATCCGTATGCGGTGATGGTGAATTCATCATTTATACAGCTCTTGCGTGGAGAAATAAGGCTTTTGGCTCGGCTTTGGATTTTGTTTGGGGTTCGAAAGATAACAGTAATGATTACGCGATTCGGGAATCGGGAACCAGTGTAAAGATCTTCAAAAACTTTGTGGAGAAAAGTGGTGGTCTTGATGTTGGCTTCCAAGCTGAAGGTCTGACAGGCGGAGTCCTTCTCGGTGTTAAGGGCCAAGGTGGTATCGGTTTCTATGACTGGCAAAGCGGTGGACTTGTTAGGAGAATTGAGGTTGAGCCAACAGAAGTACGTATGTCTGATGTGAAAATGTGACAAAAGCTGATTGATGTAGGTCTACTGGTCTGAAAATGGAGAATTGGTCGCTATTGCATGTGAAGATACCTTCTACGTCCTCAGATTCTCGCGAGAGAACTACATTGCGGCTTTGAATGCCGGAGAAGTCGATGACGATGGAGTTGAGGCTGCGTTTGAAGTTGTGACGGATATCAATGAAACGTATGTCAAGGCAAGGCCAATGCAAATCGAATGCTAACATAATCTAGTGTACGAACTGGTGAATGGGTAGGTGATTGCTTCATCTATACCAACAGCACCAACAGACTCAATTACCTCGTTGGTGATCAAACCTATACCATCTCTCATTTTGATCAACCTATGTATTTGCTCGGATACATCCAGCGCGACTCTCGTATTTATCTCGCTGACAAAGATGTCAACGTCACTTCTTTCGCCCTTTCTCTTGCAGTCGTCGAATACCAAACTTTGGTCTTGAGAGATGATATGGATACAGCTGCAGAAGTACTCAGCACGATACCAGGAGACCAACTTAACAAAATTGCTCGTTTCCTCGAGGGCCAAGGTCACAAAGAATTGGCATTGGAGGTTGCAACTGACAGCGAACATAAATTTGAGTTGGCTCTCGCATTAGGCCATCTTCCAATAGCTCTTGAACTTGCCCGTGAAGCAGATGTCGAACATAAGTGGAAGACAGTAGGTGATGCAGCACTTGCTGGTTGGGATGTTGCACTTGCAGCTGAATGTTTCAAGAATGCAAGGGATCTTGGTTCGTTGTTGTTACTTCACTCAAGTACGGGTGATAGAGAGGGACTCAAAGCATTGAGTGCACAGGCAAGCGATGCTGGTGCACACAATGTTGCATTTACTTGTCTTTGGCAATTGGGAGATGTTGATGGATGTATTGAGCTGTTGGTTAAAACTGGCAGAGCAGCAGAAGCAGTGCTATTCTCACAAACATATAAGCCAAGCATTACCGTCAAGACTGTGCACGCATGGAAAGCTCAGTTAGAAAATGACAAAAAGGGCAGGGTCGCCAAGACCGTTGGTGTACCCGGTGAAGATGAGGAGCTTTTCCCTGAATGGGAAGAATATTTAAGGTTAGAGCAGGAAGGTAATGAGAACCTCATTGATGTTAATGGGGATGGACATGATAAGATTAATGGCGATGGACCCGACCCTGATGCTGAAGCTGTGGAGGAGGGTTCACTGGAGACAAAAGAAGAAGACGATGAGGAAGAATCAGAGGAGTAGTTGAGTGGTCCACAAATAAATTGGGGACGAATTGATTTTTGGGAAATTTCTGGAAGGTGGCTATAAAAGCAGCTGTGGAGTAAATGACGCATTTGATAGAGAATTAAAGATTTATTATTTCTAGGCCCAATAGTCATAGGGGAGGGGTGATTGGTTTTGCTATCTGATAATGAATGATGGGTGGAGAGCTGAAACAAGAGGAACGGGAATGGGAAAGACGATTAAAATGAAGGGGCATTCTAGTGAGAAAAAATCTCTTCAGCTCGTTCATTCTGCAGTGTTGATTGATCCTTATGTGGTGAGTTTGGTACCCAGTGGTAAAAAATCCTTCTTGAGGAAAACCCCAAAATTACTTCGTTCTTAGTGCATTGAAGCTTTTACACTTGTCAAAACGCAAAACTGCTTTCCCAATGACCATCCTTTAAACGTGATCATCCACTGTCTCGATTCTTGGCAGTACTCTTTGACTCCGTCGCAATCACATCTGCCCAAGGGGCTCAACTCGTGTCTAGGGTGCACGCGTGAGGGAAATATCCGTGTACCTTATAGCTCAGTATTGAAAAGCTGGAAGTGCTAAGATGAATGACTGCCTGGGAATTTTGAAATGATTAAGTGCAGAATTGCTGGATCCTATATCTGCTGTCAGGCACGTTGAAATGTAACCAAGTGGAAAGTTTGGAGCGAGCCGGAAGATCCATAGTCAAGTGAAAAGATTCCTCTAAGCATACCTTAGTGGGGGTTGCTGGTTTTTAATTATAATATTTCAATTATGTTTTATAAAAAAAACTGTGTATATAAGGCAAAACTGTATATATGAAGCAAAATTGTATATATAAAACAAAATTGTATACAAATAACAAAACTGTATATACTAAATATTCTATATAATTTATAATAACTTTTATAATATTTTATTAATTATTAATTAAAAATATAAAATATAATACTTTATTTTAT